GTGGTGGTGCTGCCTTCAGAGCTGGGCAGCTGGAGAGCTGCGGCTGCTGGCCGGGAGCCTAGCTCTGAAGGCAGAGCCTCTTCCAGCAGCAGTGCAGAAGTAAGGACGGCATGGTATGGTATTGCCACCCTTCTGCACTGCTGCCTGAAGAGGTGGGCCCTCAGTAAGCAGACACTACTCTCCGGCTGCCCAGCTCTGAAGGCAGCAGCGCAGGAGTAAGGGTGGGGGTGGCATGTTATTGCCACCATTGCCACCTTACTTCTTCACTGCTGCTGGCAGAGTGCTGCCTTCAAAGCTGAGTGCCTAGCCAACAGCTGCTGCTTTCTGGCAGAAGTAAGGGTGGCAATACCATGACCTCTAAAATAACCTTTCAACACCCCCCCCCGTAACTCCCTTTTGGGTCAGGACCCCCAATTTGAGAAATGCTGGTCTCCCCCATGAAATCTGTAATAGTATAGGCTAAAAGCACACAAAAGACCAGATTTAACGGGGGAGACCAGATTTCATGGTCTGAATTTGGTAGGGCCCTAGATATAAGCCCCAATGAACATTATTTTTATGAGCCAGAGCTTAAGTTCACGAGATCTTCCTCTAGCCCAAGATGGAATGGATACTAAGTAGCCTTCCCTGGAAGCCTGAAGAACCCTTACATGTTGTTTTTCCTGGAGTACTTCCTTTTGATTATTATAGACCTCTCTTTGTCCTGTTTGAGGAATCTCTGAAAAGGCAGAAAGTGTTGTCCTTGCCCAGTGGAGTTTGTTTCCAGCACTCTGGTTCTTTGGGAGGCTTTCTCTATGCAGAGGAGCTTTAGAACTCATTCTACCAGGACATTAGTCACCTCTTCCATTAAAAGCAGGAAGTTTCTGTGAACTAACTCTGCTGGTCTCAGTTTGCACAATTTCTCATGGTTACTAATTGAATCTATCCACGCTGGTCAGATGGTTCTCAGAGTAGTTCCCACTCAGCCCAACAACTCCTGACTGTTTCCTGTCCTTCTCCTGTCTAGTTCTTTTTGTGTTTAATTTTCTCCTGTGGGTATAGTGTCTCCCTACGAAGCCAGTCAGGACTCTGAGGAAGTCTCCTCTCTGTGAGCAGACTGTCTGCAGGGCAAAAAGCTCACACAGCTTCCACCTTTCTGGGTCTGACCTCGGAGCATTCAGCATCCTTTGCCCTTCCGTGTGCTTCCCACAGCAAGTCTGCCCAGGTGGGGTCCCGAGGAAGCCAGAGGGTCCTGCACCCCAACTTCACAGTCAGATGTGACTCTCGGCCAGCCAGTAAAACAGAAGTTTATTAGACGACAAGAACATGTTCTGAAACAGAGCTTGTAGGTTCAGAGAACAGGACCCCTCAGCCGGGTCCATTTTGGGGGGCAGTGAGCCTGACAACCACATCTGCACTTCACTCCTCATCCCCAGCCAGCCTCAAACTGAAATTCTCTCCAGCCCCTCCTCCTCTGGGCTTTGTCCCTTTCCCAGGCCAGGAGGTCACCTAATTCCTTTGTTCTCCAACCGTTTAGCTACCACCTTGCAGGGGGGAAGGGCCAGGCCATCAGTTGCCAGGAAACAGGGTGTTGGCCATTCTCTGTGTCCAGATCCCTGCACACACCTGCCCTCTAGGACTCTGCAACGATCATACACCCTTATCCCACCACCTAGATACTTAAGAACTGCATAGGGGAAACTGAGGCACCCCCACAATATTCAGATAAAACATTAAGAACAGTCCCACTTCGTCACACATAGTGACTGTATATATTGGTGGCAGCCATATCAAGGAAAAACAAATTTGTCACACTTGCTGTGCTTGCCACAATGTGGCAATATGCACCCACTAAGAACCTACTAATAGGCCGAAAAAAAACAAAACAAAAGGTCTTTGGCAAAGTGGCTGCTTAGTTAGACTAGAGCTGGCTGGCAAAAAGGCTTCTCTCTAGTTCTGGAAGGTCTTACCTGGGAAAAGATTGCCTGCCTGGCTGCCAGCCAGCCTTCTTAAGAGGAGGCACTGGGTATGAAAAATCTTAGCACTGGATTGGCTAACACCTGCTAACAGATAAGAGTATAACCACCTGAGTTGTAATTTTTCCAGGACACCAGGTCTAATGCTTCTGCTCTTGTGAAAAGTTGGCCTTGAATCTTTTAATCACTACGTGTCTTTTCCTTCAGAGGGTGGCACCTCCAGCAGCAATAACCTCTCTCACTATTCCGGGGCATAGGTTTAATAGTGCTGTCTACTGAATGTTTGCTGTATTAGGTCTTCCATACACCTACTAGTCAGATCTAACCTGATTCAGTTTGAGAACAGAGAAGACTACCTAACAGTTGTATGCTTTTGATATGAGGCATGTTGACATATTTAAAGTTTTCATTCAGAATTCTTTCAGGAGGAAACTTATTCCCATACATTTCAAGATGCTTTCTGTTAGGCATTATAATGGACTTTAGTTAATATGAAAGCAGGTTTTCTTAATTGAAATGGAGATGAAAATCAAAGGATCGTAACCTTAATCAAACAGGATTAATGTTGCTATAGAAATTCTTGGGGCAGATTCTCCTTTCAGTGCACATAGCTCATTAATGCTAATCTGAGTTATGGGCACATAAACAGAAGAGCATAAATTATCCGTTTGTTTTCCATCATTTGTAAGAGTAACCAGCAAGAGGCTGTAAATAAAGCATTCTGATGAACTTCCAGAATCTACTTTGATTTGTCAAAGGCTAAAAATTTTCTTTTGAAAATTGATAATCAGTTCCTCAGAGTATTAGATTAAAAACTGTAACAAAGACTGATTTTCAGCTTTGATTTATAAATTAAAAGGCTCACTTTTTCCAGAATTGGGTACATATTACAGAAGAATAGGTTGTATAATACGGCAGGTTTAGAATGTTGGTGACCTTTACCTTATAGAAGGTCAGGATTTGATTGAAGTGATTTGTAAAACTTTGTTATTTTTGCAACATTATTTAAATCAGACTTAAGAGATTGCTAGTAGAAATTTGTCTCTAGTAAAATTTAGACCCTGATTCATAAGACCATCTCTATTTAAGAAAGCACTTAAGCATGTGATTTGGGGCCTTAATAGATACTATAAATGACCGTTTTAATGTCTTTATTTCCAAGAGAAATAATCTGACTTCAAGTTGTCTATTTGTAGAAAACTTGTTTATCTGTAAATATTTTTCCTAAAACTAGTAATTCTTCAGGTATGCATGGATCCCACCGTAGGTGTGCAAGCACTACATAGTTGTAAGCTTGGAATCTTTTGACTAGCAATGTCTGGTGGGACTGTCTGGTATGCCCTGTGCCTCTTAGTGGAGCCATACAAGGGAATAAAGGGCAGAGCGGCCTGGCCCCTCCCTCAGCTCCCTCTTCTGCCCATGGTAGTGAGACAGAACCTGGCCTGTGACTCAACCCACTTCTGATTTCTGTAACTCTTCTCTGAAGAGTGAAGAAATGTCTTCTCGATTCTCCCTTTAATTAATTTCTTCATTTAAGTTTTGTTGGTCTTTCTCCCCCCAATTCATCAACTCTGCCCAAAAAAAAAAAAGTAGTAGTTAAGGCAGATTGGGGAGACCCTCCTGGACATGCCCCTATACAGCAGGATGAGGAAAAACTTTTTCACTAGGAGGGTGGTGAAACACTGGAATGCGTTGCCTAGGGAGGTGGTGGAATCTCCTTCCCTAGAAGTTTTTAAGGTCAGGCTTGACAAAGCCCTGGCTGGGATGATTTAATTGGGGATGGGTCCTGCTTTTGAGCAGGGGGTTGGACTAGATGACCTCCTGAGGTCCCTTCCAACCCGGATATTCTATGATTCTATTCTATGATTCTATGAGGTGCTTTGTGGCAACCACTAGCTATGGTGTATTCAAAACTCACTAGGTTCAAACCCTGTCTTTCCTTCAGTGTACTAATGCCTATGGTAGACTAACAGAGCAGATGCCTGTTCTCTCTTGGGGAAGCAAGCACACATCCCCAGTAAGTATATCTGCTGCTCTTTTTGTCCCGACCCAGAAATCCTGGGATGTCACGTTCAAACTACACCTCTTGGAGCAATCCAGGAGGGTAACTTTGGAGGATGTCTCCACTCCTGGATCGAGACAGGAACAGAGAAGTTTGTCTTAGGAAAGTACTCTGATGACTAGGCGCCACACCCCTGGTTCCAAAGGAAAAGGAAGGTGAAGAAGGCACCAAAACCATCTGTGCAGGCACTGGCATCTTCGATACTGACCGTGTCTACCTTGGGTTGGTGGGGAAGAAAGACCCAACTCCATCCTCCAAAGCAGAAAGGCACGCCCACACCAAGTGCAAACACAGCGTGGAGAGGCAATACGTCCATCCCGCAGAGATGATTCTGGACTGAGAAAGAAGCCCTCAGCATCAACGAAGGATAGCACCAGCACCGCCATCTAAAGCGAGAAAGACAGGCCCACCAATATCCATGCTGAAACCTGTGCCAGCACTAGAGCCAGAACACTTCCCAGTACCAGAATATGCCTTCAAGCCCCCCTCACTGCTCCTCTCAGCACAGATATTGGCACTATTCCACTGCCAAAACAAAAAACTCAAATTATGAGGGTGTCTTGAAATCTAATGCAGCTAGTTGGTTCTAGTTACTTCACTACAAATTCACCTGAGCAGTGCAAATACTAGACTTCAAATTTTTCTTATGATTTTTTTTAATGAGCAGTTTCACTACATAGAACACTTCGTAGACGTAATATCACTTTTGTAGGTTTAGAAAAAAATAAATATGATTAACTTTTAATTCTTCTGGCATGAATCTCATTTCACGTCAGTCCCCACCAAACTTTTTTTGCAGCACACATTTAAAAAGTGTTACTATTTTTAATTACGTCTCCAGTTTAAAAAAAAATCCCTTTTCTCTGTTGTTTGAACACCTTGTGTTCTAAAATTATGGTTGTGAAATGTCACAATTTAAAACACCTTTTCTTTTTAAAGGGGAAAAGTGTAGCTCCAAAACTGCTCTTTTTTTTCTTTTCCAGACAGATCTTGACTATGTACACAGCGTTGTAGCAATCCTGGAGAAAGAGTAAGTTGTGGGGGTTGTTTTGTTTTTGTTTTGTTTTGTTTTCTTAACAAAGCTGTGGTGTGAAGGAAATGTTTTGGTTACTCCTTTTTTTTCCCTCAGGATGGTTTTGGTTTCAGAAAAAATAAGCGCATGAAGACAAACCAAGGGGAAGTAATTAAGTAGGTTAAACTGTAAAACAGTAAATGGGATTAAGTGGATTTGGCGTGACATAAATGGATTCTATGACATCTGCATTCATGCTATCCTTTGCAGTGGTATGCTCAAACTGAGCTATAGAAGGGAAAGCGCAGGTATTTTAAAAATTGACATCATTAGATTAACTAGAATATAGTGTAGAGAGGAGGAGTTATTGTTCTGGAAGACTCACTTAGGAAAATAACTTTTAATACTAGTTTTGTTTTATGTTGCTTGTTTAAAAAATTGTACTGCCGTATTATGTTGTCAACAGAAATTAAGAATGTAATTTTACCAGACATAAATCCTGCATATCATAAAAGTTAGAAGATGAGCCTTCATTCTGATATATTGTGAAGTAACATTATGCATTTGTTCCAAATGATTACAAATATGTTTTATGTCAGACACAGTAACTGCACCAATAATAAATAAATAAATAGTCCTACTGCACTTATTTACTTGATGTTTCTGATGATAGATTTTCTACAGAAATCAGTTCTGGCTTGGTGGAAATAATATCCCCACCTGCAACTTACTATCCTGACTTGACAAATTTAAAAGAGACATTTGGAGACTCAAAAGAAAGAGTCAGGTAAGATTTTTCCCTCAGACCTTTCTTGTTTATGTAATGCCAGACTGAGTGTGAATTCTGGAAACATTTTTCATATATTCTTTAAATTATGTGGGGAAAAAAGGCCCTAATTCTGCGCAAAAAAACAAACAAACAAACAAAAAAACCGCATGGGTGAATCTCTGCATCTGCATGAAGCTCTTCCTGCATGTTCTTTTCTTAAGGATTGAAGCTTAAATGTTAAGCTTTGTGGGTTTCCTTTAATGTTAAATTCTGGGAAGTTGCAGTGGGAGTTCAGAATATAACAGCGTATAAAATTTTTGTTCCATAACATCATGTAGGTTGTCTGTTCTTGTTTTCTGTTTTCCTTCGTGCTGTCAGGAATAGAACAGTATATGAAACTCAACAGTATTGCTCACTTACCATTTGAAATACCCAATATATTTTTAGAGAAAGCTTAAATAGCTGCAAAATATCAGATTCAGTTGGGTCATTCCTCTTTTTGTGTTACAGCATACAAGGGGCGGGGGGCATTCACCTGTTTTTTTTGGATTTTTTCAGACAGAGGCTTTCCTGGGAGAATAATGCCTGATATAATTGTTCTATCATTCAAATAATGTGTAGTAACTTGTCATTCTTTGTTATGCAATTCACTATGTATTGTGAATTTTTTTTATTTTGTAATTCCTTGACTTTTTTTTTAACATTTAATTTCAGATGGCGAACAAAACAAAACTTGGACTATTGTTTTCTTATGATGTATGCCCAGAAAAAGGGCATTTATTATATTCAGGTAAATCGCTGTTCTTTGATGTGTAAAGCTATTCAAAGATGCCTTGGTGATAGGCACATCATAAAAACCTAAATAGAATATAAATAGAATGATTATATATTTGTAGCATGATTGTAATTATGGATATTATAGTATTAGTGAATGTGTATAAGTTGAATTACATACACTGCCTAAACTGGAAAGCCAGTTGTCTATATGCAAAAGTGTGGCAAAAAACTGCTGATGTGGCAAAAAACATGAAGGAACACAGACTATTTAATTTTTTCATATGCCAAAGAAAGGGATAGGAGTGGAGCCTCTATGATGCAAAGAAACAATAGAATAGTTGTTGGTGGAAGTAGAGCTCTAGATGCTGCATTATTTTTAATTGGTTTTGAAGAGGCCTAGATACAGTTTTTGTGTCCTTTGGCACATAAGCTAATGTGACTGTGTATTGAATACAGATTCTTTTAAGTGTGTTGCTAGATTCACTGCTTTTAACTAAAAGATAAGATTGTGGTAAAAGCTGTAACAGTTCTGAAAAATTTAAAATAAACTTAAATGTAACCCTGAGTCGATTTCACCTTTTATTCCTGCTTTCAGGTAGAACCCCACCTTCTCCTCCCCCTCAAATACATTTAGGGCTTGAGTTGCTATTAAAAGAAACAGCAGCATGTTTTCTTCAGGCAACATTTGCTGCCAACACTGCCCCTTACTGACATATGAAACCACCTAATCACAGTATGGAACTTATATCTATACACAGGGAGAAAAGAAGAAAATTAGCTGTGGGGGTCCCAAAATGAAGGTGAATTAAAGTGAGAATTTTTTAAAAACTGACCTATCTTGGTGGTTAACTAACCATGACTCCCTTTTTCTAAAATGGGAGGCCACTGAGTCCAGTGACGCTTTAAGACTTGGCAGGACATCTGAAAGATTGAATGTACATAGATTAAAACAAATGTATGTTATACTGTTATGAGCTGGGTGAAACCTTGTTATGGGTTGAGCTAAAATCTCATTCAAACTGGTGTGTGAGCACACCCTTTCTTTGGTAGTTGTAAGCAGTGATGAGCTGTCAAAATCTTAACAACCGGTTCCCTATAAAAAGTTCTGATTTAAAGGATGTGCCACAGTCTGTATTTTTTGTACCAGTAGGGTTACCATACGTCCGTATTTTCCCAGGAAAATTCCTCTCGGACAGCGATTTAAGAACCAAAAAGTATGACATGTCCGGGAAAATACAGATGTATGTTAACCCTACCTAAAGTTCTTTTTTTAAAAAGATGGGTCTGAACTAGAAATGAGCTCCGTTTCACATGTGTGGGTCCCCGCCACTCCCTGGGGGTGTGCTATGGTGACCAGATGTCCTGATTTAATAGGGACAGTCCCGATTTTGGGGTCTTTTTCTTATATAGGCTCCTATTACCCCCCACCCCCTGTCCTGATTTTTCACACTTGCTGTCTGGTCACCCTAGGGTGTGCACATGTGTGGGTCCCAGCTGCTCCCTGCCCCCCTCATTGAAGCAGGTGTGCAGGGTTACTGCCATGGGAGGTGCAGGGTTACTGCCATGGGAGCTGCAGGGCACCAGTGGATGTGGGGCAAGGGGGTGCGGCAGGGGTTGGCTGGAGACAGGGCAGGGGGGTGCGTGCGGCAGTGGTTGGCTGGAGACAGGGCAGGGGGTGGAGACAGGGCAGGGGGGTGCGTGCGGCAGAGGTTGGCGGGGGTGGTGCGGGCAGGGCAGGGGCTGCGGCAGAGGCTGGCTGCGGCAGAGGCTGGCTGCGGGCAGGGGGTGCGGGGCTGGCTGGAGACGGGGTGTAGCAGGGGCTGGCTGCGGGTAGGGCAGGGGGTGCGGCAGGGGCTGGAGATGGGCTGGCTGCGGGCAGGGTGGTGGGTACTCATGGGGAGAGCGGCTCGGAGCAGCCCAAGCAGTAGGATGCAGCCCAGGCCCAGCAGAACAGCTGCGGACCCACCAGGCAGCAGCGGGAGCCCCAGGGCCAGGGGTCGGGGGAGCAGCAGCAGCAACAGGGCTTGTGCCCAGGGCCAGATGGCAGCCCACATGGCTCCCGCACCACAGCGCCCCGGCAGCCGGAGGAGGAGTTACATCACTTCTCGGCCGGAGCCCATGAAAGCCTCAGCACCCCCTGCAGGGAAGCAGGTTAACAACCAGTTCTAAAACTGCTTCAAAATTTAACAGCCGGTTCATGCAAACCGGCTCCAGCTCACCCCTGGTTGTAAGATATAGTTAAGGCCCCACACCTAAAGCAAAGCTTATTAGATTTTGTCTAGAAACTAGCACCATGTGAACAGAGGGTTCCACTGGGTATTGTGTGAGAGAGAGAACACAAACTTAGAACAGACAAGAACAGAAAGAGAGGCAGAGGTAAAAAGCAAGAAAGTCAAGCAGTAGCCTGTGAGCACAATGTGACTCTGGAAAAAGCTAGAGTTTTGGGTGTGGTGTTGGCTAAAGATGCTTAGGGTTGTAAACTAAGAAACTGCCCCTTTTGTTCTTTGTTCTTTCTATGTTCAGACAAGCAGGATTTTGTACAATCCTTGTAAATAAACAAGATTGTATCAAGGAGATTACCGGACTCCATCAGTTTTACTTGCAACTGGAACATTGCCAGAGCCCCAAAATTTGACTAGCTGCTCAGATCAAAAAGGGGTAACAATACCAATATTACACTCTACCTTTATTGTTTAAAAATGGCATTAGAGAATGATGATCTGATGGCCTTTAAGGAATCATGGCCATGAAGAAATTTTCAGTTAGATCCTACCATAAACATGTAGAAATAAAGGCGTTAATAGCTTACAAAAAAGTGTAAAGTTCCTTCTCTTTATTCAGATTCTGCACAATATACCTAGTCCCGTCAGTGTTGTCCTGTAGTATCTCTTATCAGGATGGTTGAGAGCACATAAACTTTGGCCTTCTGTCTCACAGTACACCAATAGATGCAGTTATAAGACAGTAATTTTAGAATTTAAGCTATTAGGAAGATTTGATCCTGCCCTTGGGTTTGTATAGCACCTACCAGAGTGGGGCTCCTGTCCTGATGGGAGCCTTTGAATGCTATCCCACTACATATGGTAAATAAGAAGGTTTCAGAGTAGCAGCCGTGTTAATCTGTATTTGCAAAAAGAAAAGGATGCATCCGATGAAGTGAGCTGTAGCTCACGAAAGCTTATGCTCAGATAAATTTGTTAGTCTCTAAGGTGCCACAAGTATTCCTTTTCTTTTTTAGTAAATAAGAAGTAATGCATGTTATGGCCTATCTTATTTTCACACTGTGTTGAATCACTCAAACTGGTTCTTACCAATTAGTTATATTTGTGACAATAAATACATGAAGAAGAATAAAAAATCAGTGTTGAGATTCATCCTTTTTTTTGGAGGGCGGGTACATTTAGCTGTTTGTTTCTCTTCCCATGTAACTTTAGTGGTCCTCACTGTTGATATGCCATTTTATATATGCAGTGTTGTTGTCATGTTGGTCCCAAATATTAGAGACAAGGTGAGTGAGGTAGTATATTTTATTGGACCAACTTCAGTGAGACTTGAAATAAGAGCTCTATGTAAGCTTAAAAGCTAGTCTCTCTCACCAGCAGAAGTTGGTCCAATAAAAGATAATATCTCACCCACCTTGTGTGTCTTATGCCAATTTCTAAATTATTGTGAAGTCATCATGATATGACTATGACATACTATGATGTCAGTTTTGTTACAAATAATACATGTATTCATGTGAAGTAAAGTAAACAATACAACCAATTAATCTATATCTGGAAACTCACACTTAGTCATTTGTGTGCCTACAAACAACACATGCGATAGGAGGAAACATATGTATGGGTGCTAGTATTCAGTGCTTCCACTATGGGCAACAGTTGTAAGCAGAAGTGGGCAATTTTGGGGATAGAGTCCAAAACTCTCACTACTATGGAACATTTGAAATTTTTTTTAAAATTGTTTAATCATGCCAGTATTTGCTTCATAAGCATAATTCTAAAATGGAGATTGTACTGCTTTGAGTTATGTAAACATTTCTATGCTTATTTTCCATGATAATTGCTTTCTATATTTGCTGAGACAATTGTTATTGAGGGAATGGGACTATAGCTTCTGTTTTCAAGCTGTTATTTTTATTGTCCATTATAAAATGCACACGTACTTTCCCATCTAAGAAACGTGCGGGGAAAATACCAAATAAAATATTATAGAAGTTAAAAGATGGTGCTTTCCCTTTTGGTACAGTTCTGTTATATGCCAGAAAGTAGCAACATCAAGCAATTGTGTACTAAAGTATTTAATATTGCCACAGCCTTTTGATCAAGGATGAGAGATCATTATTGATAGCTTATAATCTAACAGCAGTTAAGTAACAGAGGGGCAGCCATATTAGTCTGTATCCATAAAAACAACGAGGAGTCCTGTGGCACCTTAAAGACTAACAGATTTATTTGGGCATAAGCTTTCGTGGGTAAAAAACCCACTTCTTCAGATGCATGGAGTGAAAATTACAGATGCAGACATAAATATACTGACACATGAAGAGAAGGGAGTTACCTTACATCCACCCTGGTTGAATTGGCCCTGTCAACACTGGTTTTCCACTTTAAGGTGCCAGTGGACTCCTCGTTGTTTTTTTAACAGCAGTTAAGTACATGCTGAATGGAATCTTTATCTAGATATTATACGCTTGTAAAGAGAAAAGTTTTTTAAAACTATTTCCTATCCAGTTCACTCTTGTGTGTTCCCAGATAGTTGATGTATATATCCCTGGATTTTTGCTATAAAGAGTCTCCAAACTAATTATCCTCAAATAAGTGAACAGTGATCATGCTTCTACAGTAATAATTCTTGTGTACGATTCCTGGATACTAGGGTGGTGATTGCACTAGAAATCTATAGATAAATATATTTTAGGACTACTTTTTCCTTGCTGTACTTTTTATTTTTGCTTTGCTCTTCCTGCTTTGTGTTAATACAAGTGTTTGATTCCCCTAGCTTGAAGATGACATTGTTGTCAAGCAGAATTATTTCAGCACGATAAAAAATTTTGCACTTCAACTCTCTTCTGAGGATTGGATGATTTTAGAATTTTCTCAGCTGGGTTTCATTGGTAAGAAAAATGTCCAGTTTAGTAGTTTGAAAAGAAAGTTCAGCCACAGAATCTCTGATTAATAGTGCTATGACCTCAAAAGTGCCACCTTTGTACTGGTAATGGAACAGGGAATAAAAATTGATTGACTTTTATGGCTATATGCTGTAACTATACACTACAATAATTGCTGTTACTTATGGATGTTTGAGTCAGAATTAAGCTATGGAAAATGAGAACATTTTTATAACTAAAAATTAAATTGCTTTTAAAAATATGGAAAATCAAATTTTAAATATGTCTTCTAATTATCTAATTTTTGGCAAAATAAAAATGACGTTAAAAGAAGATTGCGTATGTGAAGCAAAGGGACAAAATCAAGAAAACTCACCCAGCCCAAAGTAAATTTGATGTCTTTTGGCCATTAGAAACCTCATAAGTTTCCAAGGGTCAGCAGCCATAAAAATTAGTCTCTTTTGCAAAAAGGTTCTATCCTACCCTCCTGCTACCACTTGAAGCAACCATGTGACTTCCAGAGCCTGTCCCCTTTCTAGGGATGAAGTCACAAATACCACCTGTCATTTACAGTGATTAGGATAATTACAACAATGTTGAGACAGAAAATGCAGACTCCAGAATCTTAGCAGGTTGACCACCACTATGTCATGAGAGTAATTTTAGTGTTCTTTGTTTCCTACACAATAATAGATTTTACTGAGAGGCACAAAACTTACATAAATGCAGCTGAAAGAGCTTTCAAAGGAATTTAACACTTTGAAGGTTGATACAACTAGAGTCACAGTCTGGTTTGATCTAATTAACCATAATGAACTAGAGCCACACAATGATAAAATTGGAAACTGATTCAGAGAAGCTATGACATCTTTCCATTAGTTAGTCAACGTTACTGATCCCAAATACAAAGATCATAAGTTGAGCCCAGAACAGGAAGAATAATCTGAAACGTGGCTAGTGGAATGTAACCCTGAGGTTTTTTTTCATTCTTTTCCAACATTTCAATTAAAGACCTAGATCTCTACCCACATATTTGTTTGCAAAGGAAGTTGTGTCTCAGTTCATTGTATTAAGGTGGTGGGAAACAGTGAATGTAAAATTAGACTCTTGATTTCAGAATATGGTCAATAATTAAAGAACCTGCATTCCCCTGAGGTCAGCTTGATATCAAATGTGTTTTTAATATGTTCCTCTCATGCACAGGAAGTGAGGGAGATATGATCCTTAACAGGGCTGTATAGCAAGCAGAATGGGTGTCCACTGGGTTGAAAACATCAGTGAGCAATCTTCCCCCAAACCAAAACGGGAGGAGATGGTGATCCATACTTTGACAATGAAGTGGTAGGATCAAACAACAAAAGCAATGGGGAGACAGGAACCGCCCCAAATGAGAGGAAGAAATTTTCCAGTTCTTAAGCCAGGCAAGAACAAGTATTCTCTTTATCTTGAGTCACACAGTTAGGGTTCCTTCCAGCTGAAATACCTCCTATTAGTTTCATGGCTCCAAAAGGGACAAAGGTGAGAAGAGAAAAAGGACCAGCCTCGAGTGGAGAGCTAAGAGTTCATTTACTTCTGTCCTCCAAGCAGCTCTGTTACTTCTGCTAAGCAGTTTTGTGTACACCTTGTAACTCTCTGTGACTGCCCAAACTTTATCTCGGGAGACTGGCCTGGAACTAGAATGCCATGGATCTCAATTTCTGGGTTGTGCTGATAAACCTTAATTATGAATTTTACTTGGGTTTTGGAATTTGCTTCACAATCTAACCATTCTCTTAATGTAGATTTTTGTATGAAATTCTGTGGTTTTACAAGTAATGTAAAATTAATTATAGATTTTCTTAATTAGCATAGTATACGCTGGAATGTCTTGTGGCATGCGGGAGCTTGTGATCTGCAGTTTTTTAAGACTGAAAAGGCAAAATATATAAAATCTATTGTGCTGAATCTTTAGTTTACTCTTGCAATTTGGGACATGCAGCCTCTAACCCTATGAGTAGAGCCCTATGTGGATACAAAATTTGTATCTGTATCAGATCCCAAACATGGTTCACAGATATAAAGCAGATATCTGCAGATTTCCAGGGCTCTACCTATAAGTAAGGCTACATTTTAGTCATGGGGTATTTTTGGTAAAAGTCATGGCCAGGTCAAAGGCAGTAAACCAGAATTCATGGCCCGTGACCTGTCCATGAATTTTACTATATACCCCAACTAAAACTTGGTGGGAGGCGGACGAATCCGTGACTTCCATGACCTCCATGACAGACTTGCAGGCTTACCTATGAGTTACTTTTTAAAGTATATTTACAGATCATCTTTAAAAGGGGCACCTTTCTCTACTCACCCCTACCTTTGGGGAATAATAAATAAGCATTATTTATTACAATTTGCTTATTTCATAGAGTTTCTGGTTAAATCGTGAGTAAAACTGATTGGAACTCAAGGATTAGAAGTTGAGTTATACTTGATTGCCTGCCTGTTTGTTGGCTTTTCTTTATATGGATTCTGAAAATAATTACTTTAAATACTAAATTAATTAATTGTCTCCAGCTGCTCTCTCTCCTTTTATCTGTTGCTTTCCCATGTGTTATATTTACTGCTTACTCCATTCAGTAACCATTTCATTCAGATGTTATTGCTAGTAGGCCTTCAGCAGGATTTACCCATCTTACACCACATCTTAACAGTGTTTTTATTGAGAGAGTTAAATCAGGAGTCTAATGCTCCCAATTTAGCTACTTATTCTATTTTTAGGTTGAGTGAATGTAGTATTCATGAAAGTGTGTGATAAATAGCATTGGCTAGAGACATGTAGACATAGTGTAATCATCCACAGTGCAAAATTCTTCACACAGTTATCATTATTCTTGATTTGCCATCTCTGCTATTCCATTTCTGGTTCTTTATGTGGACACATACTGCAAGTTGTACAATTTTGGTAATGTGAAGAAACAAAGATGTTGGGGCAGCCAAATAAATCATTATTTATGACTTGGGATGAGATTTATATCCAGATCTCAAAAGGCTAGCATATTGATGACCTGTTATATCACTTTGTCCCTATCGATTTAACGTAGAAAAATAATAATTGAAATGTTAATAGAGATGTGGCTTTAGCCGTACACTGTTGAAAGCCTTAGCTAGCTTACAAGTTCATTTATAAAAATGGTGTTTTGTTTTTGTTAAAATTTGTCTTGGCTGTAAGTCTTATTTATGCATACATCTAATCTGTTTTTTTAAAAAGTGTGATAGAAAAAAAATTGTTTATACACAGAGGTGACAAATTCATCCTTGTTGATGAGGGGTTTTGACTGACAGCCAAAAAATATTAGAATTCTACCATCCATACATCATAACAGAAGTTGCATTCTCTGTATGCTGTGCTGAATATGTAGTCGTTAAGTGTTGTCATTTAAACTAAATAAATTATAAAGAGTGGAATTCTGTGCTTCACCTCTAAGAAGCACAGCACAGAGTCATCAGTTTTGAGGGAGAGGATGCCCTCCCAATTTTGGGCTGCTGGGCAGTCCATGGTATATCATGGGCAGCTCTGGGGTCCTGTCTGAACTATGGCAGCCTGTCTCCAGCTGCCTGTGACCTGCAGTTTGCACAGCAGAGATTCTGAGCACCAAGTGCTACAGCCCTGTCCTGGACGTGTCCCCTATGCCAAGGCTTGCAAGGGAGTCCTCTGAAGGCAGCCTTACAACTGTATTCCGCAGTTCCTATGTTGGGGGAATCCTCCCATGGCTGGATCTAGAGATTTTTAGAACCCCTAACATGAAGGCGCCATGTAGCACGGGTGAGGTGCTCACTCAAGTTTTTAAATTTTTTCCAGTTAAAATATCGAGATCAAAAAGTTAATTCTGGATGAGTTTGGAGTCTAACAGCACCAGCTGCCAGACAGATTCAGTCGATGGATCCATTTTAATATTAGTCAAAGAACTTCAATAATTTGCAGAATATAAGCATAAAAATAGTTTAAAAGTTTTTCACTTGAATGTGTTTCTGGAGATATAAAATTCGTTTTGGAAACATTCTGATTTATGGCTGTAATTAACTCTGTGTTTAACACTATGTTTTTACTAGAGATTTTTAATGAATTATTTAAATATCTATAATTCAGAGACGAATGAAAACAAAGTTTTTCCTCTTGAATTGTATCTTTTACATTAATACTGACCAACTAAATACTATGCAGTCAGAATAGTATAAATTTACAATAGAGTTAAAATATACTGAGAATCCAATGAACTAATAAATTAATAGAAGGTCATAATAGGTAATAGTAAATTTTCCACTGTATACCTTTTTTGAATCCCAAACTCTCATTTGCCCTCTTCTCTATATAAACACAAAATTAATATTTTTAATATGGAGAAATAATCTTCAACATTGTATTGCTAATGGTTTACAGAAATCTGGTCCTATTTTAAGTTTGACTTTTGTATTCTAAAGTTCTCTGTTCTTGGAATTGTTGAAAAATTCTGTATTTACATTGAGTTGTGTTTTATTATGCAAGTTGAGTATTTTAAACATGTTGGGAGTTGTAAGATTGTAAAGAGCTATTTTGTGAAGTTTTCCTGTTTATATAGTTTTGCTCAACTTGTTGACATGTCCCTTTGTGATATCAGCTGGGATTTCCAATTGTGAGATGGTAATACAACTTGCCTTAGCACAAACAATATGGTCTCTAGGCTCGTGATCTCAAAAGAGTTGTTTCAGAATTACTATTATTAATTTAGAATAATATCTTTACAGGTAAAATGTTCCAAGCTCCAGATATCACTCTTATTGTAGAGTTCATATTTATGTTTTATAAGGAGAAACCTATTGATTGGCTCTTAGATCATATACTCTGGGTGAAAGTCTGCAACCCTGAAAAAGATGCAGTAAGTTCAATTTTTGTTATGTAGCTTTTAATGTCTCTTCTTGATAAAAAAAAAAAGCTTTATTTTCTGTGAATCTAAGAAGTAGTATGTGATATGCTGATTCTTTTCATGGTTCCTTCATATCCCAATACAAATTTCAGTCTATTTTTAAATCTGAATCTGTGAGAAAGTTTTGGAGACCTCAGAGATCAGAGAAATTACTTTCTTACATTTCTTAATGTTTCAGATTTGGGAGGCTTAGAAATGCACTTTTTGGGGGAAAACAGAGGTCAAAATTTTTTGTGCCTAGCAGGCCTAAGATAACTAGCAGTTGCACTAGCTATATTTAACATTCTGCAGCAAAATTATTTGAGTCCACTTCAATTTTTGAAAATAATTATAAAGGTTCATCCCAATAGCTCAATGGTAGTGCTCAATACTTCAGTGAAGGAGTCCTTCATTGAATATACAGACTTGGAGTAAATTCCTGGTCCTTTTGAAGTCAATGAAAGTTTTTCCATTGACTTCAGTAGGCCAGGATTTCATCCAGGGTTTTTTCATCTTCAGACTATCACATCCCTGTGGAGGTAGTTCTTGTAGCCCTATAGGGAGTACCTCATGTAGCCACACAGAAAGCTCTCACGAACAAGGTCAGCTCCTCACGAACAAGGTCAGTTCCCAGACTACTGCACTGGGCAGCACAGCATGGGGAGCAGGTGGCCAGCCCTCTGTGAAGGAAGAAGTGGTTCGGGACTATTTAGAAAAACTGGACGTGCACAAGTCCATGGGGCTGGATGCATTGCATCCGAGAGTGCTAAAGGAATTGGCGGATGTGATTGCAGAGCCATTGGCCATTATCTTTGAAAACTCATGGCGATCGGGGGAAGTCCTGGAAGACTGGAAAAAGGCTAATGGTGGTGCCCATCTTTAAAAAAGGGAAGAAGGATGATCCTGGGAACTACAGGCCGATCAGCCTCACCTCAGTCCCTGGAAAAATCATGGAGCATGTCCTCAAGGAATCAATTCTGAAGCACTTAGACGAGAGGAAAGTGATCAGGAACAGTCAGCATGGATTCACCAAAGGAAAGTCATGCCTGACTAATCTAATTGCCTTCTATGATGAGATAACTGGTTCTGTGGATGAAGGGAAATCAGTGGACGTGTTATTCCTCGACTTTAGCAAAGCTTTTGACACGGTCTCCCACAGTATTCTTGTCAGCAAGTTAAAGAAGTATGGGCTGGATGGATGCACTACAAGGTGGGTAGAAAGTTGGCTAGATTGTCGGGCTCAACAGGTAGTGATCAATGGCTCCATGTCTAGTTGGCAGCCGGTATCTAGCGGAGTGCCCCAAGGGTCGGTCCTGGGGCCGGTTTTGTTCAATATCTTCATTAATGATCTGGAGGATGGTGTGGATTGCACCCTCAGCAAGTTTGCGGATGACACTAAACTGGGAGGAGTGGTAGATACGCTGGAGGGTAGGGATAGGATACAGAGGGACCTAGACAAATTGGAGGATTGGGCCAAAAGAAATCTGATGAGGTTCAACAAGGACAAGTACAGAGTCCTGCACTTAGGACGGAAGAATCCAATGTACTGCTACAGACTAGGGACCCAATGGCTAGGCAGCAGTCCTGCAGAGAAGGACCTAGGAGTGACAGTGGACGAGAAGCTGGATATGAGTCAACAGTGTGGCCTTGTTGCCAAGAAGGCCAATGGCATTTTGGGCTGTATAAGTAGGGGCATTGCTAGCTGATCGAGGGACGTGATCGTTCCCCTCTATTCGACATTGGTGAGGCCTCATCTGGAGTACTGTCCTGTTTTGGGCCCCACACTACAAGAAGGATGTGGAGAAATTGAAGAGAGTTCAGCGAAGGGCAACAAAAATGATTAGGGGACTGGAACACATGACTTATGAGGAGAGGCTGAGGGAACTGGGATTGTTTAGTCTACGGAAGAGAAGAATGAGGCGGGATTTGATAGCTGCTTTTAACTACCTGAAAGGTGGATCCAAAGAGGATGGATCTAGACTATTCTCAGTGATAGCAGATGACAGGACAAGGAGTAATGGTCTCAAGTTGCAGTGGGGGAGGTTTAGGTTGGATATTAAGAAAAACTTTTTCACTAGGAGGGTGGTGAAACACTGGAATGCGTTACCTAGGGAAGTGGTGGAATCCCCTTCCTTAGAGGTTTTTAAGGTCAGGCTTGACAAAGCCCTGGCTGGGATGATTTAGTTGGGATTGGTCCTGCTCTGGGCAGGGTGTTGGACTAGATGGCCTCCAGAGGTCCCTTCCAACACTGTTATTCTATGATTCTATGATTCTCTCTGTCCAGTGAAGAAGCTGTATTGATTAGTTCCATTAAAAATCTCATCCAGGTCTCATTAACCAAAAGAATGGCTACAATATGGAGTTTTGAAGGTGTGTGGGGGAAACCTTAGGAGTCCTCTGAAAAAATATTTAAAATTATCTGCTAAAATTGGTAAAGTATTTACATATATTATAGAATTGCTGCAGGTCTTTAAAATACTGGAGACTCCTTTTTCTACCATAGTAACATTAGGCAGTCCTTTAACGAATCAAAATTTTGCTCTTCAAGGTTATGGATTCTTCATTATGTTAGTCACTTAAGAGACATTTTGTAATTATCAGTGGTGCTTTGCTAGTGCGGTGGATCCTCAAGAGGACTCTTATTACAATAAAAAAGCTTTATCTCCAGGGTGCTATTCTGCATGTGTGTTTGCCTGCAGAGTGTTTCCAGGTTAACTTTACACACTGCTTTTTTTGGCTGAGGTTTTTGTCTGTGAAAACTCTAGGGGTAAAATTCACCCATCAGTGAAGGGGCCAAGTGTAGCTGAACCACTTCAGTTCTGCTGCATGGGCAGGGCAAGTGTTGAGAGTATATTAAAGGGTCTCTGTGTATGGCACAGTTGGCATGTAGACCAGTATAGCTGGAGAATATGGGGCATGTGAGCAGATTGCTCTAAACAGAATACTTGTAGTCAGAGTATAGTCCAGATTTATCCCATACTTGAGAATTGGATTTCCTGGTACTAGAAACAAGTATTAAACATCATAAATCTCAGCCTGAGTTTTCTGCCCAAGTTTCATATGTCTAAGTATTCCTGCAGGTGCCATTAATTCCACCTTCCTTATATCCCTATAGAGTTAACAAGCCCCACATGCAACAATGAATGAGCAGAATTTACTCAGCAGCTTTATGCCAGGTCCAATACCAGCTAGGTAGGGTGGATCGACAGGAGAGCCCCATTAGTATTGTCACAGGTGGAAAGGGGAGAGAGGGAGAGCACTATGTCTGAGACTATACAGACTTACTGGTCACATATCATCATATGGAGGCTGTACAGAAATTCCCATTTGACTCAAGAAGTAGTTGTGGTGGGGTTACAGGCTGCCCTGCACCCACCTACTGATTGGTAAATAATTTCTCATGTAGTTCCTCTGTACAGAGCCCATTTATTCAGGCTTTTTGCAGGAGGAAAGGAGTAAATTTTAACCAGAATGAATAGCCCAATGGTGCTCTTATGCAATGAAATAAGATCGCATCAGGAATGAAGTATATAGTTCTAGTTTCTTGTAATTTGTTTTGGTTCATGAATCATGGATTATCCTACAATTTCAATAAAAACTCACTGATCTTTCTTTATTATCTTTGCTAATGTGAGGTTTTCTTGATTTTATTTTAAGAAACATTGTGATAGACAGAAATCTAATCTACGAATACGCTTCAGGCCTTCTCTTTTCCAACATGTTGGCCTGCACTCCTCCCTAGCAGGAAAGATCCAGAAACTCACGGTTAGTAGCTAAAACTTCTTTTCCCTTCCATATCAGACAGGATTGATAAGTGATTTTTCATCAGATCAGAAAATTAACTTTTTGCTATACTTTAGCATTTTCAGGTATAATATATTATAATCTAGTTGGAATTAAGCCTGATTAAAGCTGACTACCATAGAATAGAAGAATTTCTAGGTCAACTCATATATTTTTATATGACTCCTGCATATAGTCTCTCATTTTAAATCTCTAACCTTTTATCTGTAATACTGTGACCTTTTATTCATCAATACAGGGTCTCAGATGTACAATGGAGAAAATGGATAATACATTAGTTGCCCTTTGTTTTCCATTTGCTTTTAAGTACTAGCAAAATTAGCCACTAAAGAAAAGAGACTGCCTGACCAACTTAATAGCATGTTTGTCTTTCTTTCAATTAGGATAAAGACTTCCTGAAACCATTATTACATAAAATTCATGTGAATCCACCGGCAGAAGTTTCTACATCTTTAAAAGTCTACCAAGGACATACACTGGAAAAAACCTATATGGGAGAGGATTTTTTCTGGGCTGTTACACCAATTGCTGGGGATTATATCCTATTTAAATTTGACAAACCAGTCAACGTAGAAAGGTTAGTAATCACTTGTCTTTTGGTCTCACAGCTAAAGATGCTTGCTAAGCAAGTATGCTTGAGGATAGAATTGAGGAAAAATAAATTAAACATAATGAAAAACTAATTTCATACAAGGTGTCAGATGAAATGGATACTTTGCAGTTCAGTTTAAAATGTACTTCAATCAACTTTGTTCTTCATAGTTGACTCTGTATTTTATTTAGACTATTTTGCTACAAAATCTATTTTTGTAACCTTCTCCAGAAGTATAACACCACAGCCAGTGCCCTGCCAGCAGTTAAAAAGACTGCCAAATTGAGTCTGTTCCAATTGGTTGAAGGTGACTTTTTTTTCAAGCCCTTTATCTTACTCAAACTCGATGTGTGTGATTTTTTTATCTGCATTTGTGCTTGAATTTATGATTTGCTACAGTCACACAGAGGAGTGAAAGTGACCTCTTCTATTCATTAACCTTTAGGCCAGCTAAGGCAAGGAAATACTTCTTTTGCTTTTATTTTTTAACGGGGTAATTTTAGTTTTGCTAGGTTGCCACTGTCCTCTCTCTCTAGTTAAGTTGGAGTCTCTTTTGTTTGCTTATTTTCTTTTCACCCTGTCTTCCTTGTACACTAGCCCAAGACTTACGAAAGAAATTTTTTGTTTAAGGTATCTTTATATTCCTCTTATATTCTCCTTTCATGTACATTGTAGCCTTTCTGCTTCCCCAGTTCTATAGACCCAGAGCCTTGCAGTGCTAACAACTACTATTGGAGTAATCTCACTAGATACTTTCCTTGTGAAGGCTATCTCAGGCTGTCAAGCTGCTCTTTCTGCATTCTTGAAGTGAACCCAATTGGTCAACTTCTTCCATGGATTGGCAGCTAGCTGAAGACTGAGTCATCACCTTAACAGATCTTAAAGATCTCAGATTCATTGAGTTTGGTATTTTCCCCACATTGTACTTTTTGCTCCAATGATTCTGACCAGTGAAATGCAGATCACTTGAGAGGTGAAAGAATTAAAAATTACTCTTCAGTTGCTTAGAAAAGTCTTTTCTTCCAGTGTGGTTATTAGGCCTGCATGGAATGTACCTTAAGGGGGTACATACACCCCACCTTATCATATAAAAGTCAATACCTTTTACCTGTGGCAATAATATGAAATAGAAAGACAACTCTCTTTCAGCTAGAGAGTATACATTCAGTGGAAGGTTTTTGATCAACTGCAAAGTTTCTGTTTCAAAGTTATATTGAAATGAACAATATTGTTTGGGTTTTTTTACTTATTTATCCATTTTTGAAAAAAAAATGTGTACTTTTGTAGGATATGAATTTCAGGGAAAGGGGGTGGAACAAGTTAATTTTTATTTTGGTTAGATATTTGTTTTATTAAGATGTGTCAGAAGCAACCTGGCAGTTTTGACAAATGCTCTAAACTTGCTAGGAAATGTCATAAGTAAACTTTGTGCCTCAAAAATGGACATGACTCAGACAATATATTTGCTGAAGAGTGTCACCTCAGTTTATCGTGTTGAGGGAGAGAAAGTGTCAGTCATTTTTGCAAAGAAAGGGGGAATGTGTCCATTCTTTTGTAATTAGGCAAAGTGGTTAATATAACCCTATTCTCAGTACTGCCATATCTCAGGTGCTAGTACCATTCAGAAGAGATGAGGATTACATGACTTAATAATCTCTATTCAATGAAGATAATTTAGTTTCTGAAGAAAGTGAACATCTCAGATTCTCCTGCTTTCTCAAAGGAAGTTCACTGACTGGACTGGTATAACATTCTAAATCTAAGTAGTTTTTAATCTGACATGAGGCCATTTTCTTAATTTCTAATAAGTATTGAAATGTTATTTGGGCTCTTATATCATTACCCAAAGTCCACACATATGCAGTTTTTACCTTTCTTGAAATGTCAGAAGATTTGGGAGAGTTACTACTCTAGCTAAGAATTGTCAGGGATATGATGCACTTAAGTGGTGGGATTTTCTAAAGCACTCAGTATTGGCCTAAATCTGTTTCCACGGAAGTCAAGTGACAAGTAGGTGGAGAAATAAGTTTGCAGATATATCATGGGTCTAAACACCAATGAGGGAGAGGAATGATTTGCTGAAGTACACAGAGGTTATAACTGGGAGTAATGGGTTGAATTAAGAAAGGGAAAACTTAAGCTGAATATCAGGAAAACCTTCCTGATGGTGAAATGTAGTAGGATGTGGAATAAAACTAAACTATATAAACACTAGAAAGTATACCTTTGGGAACAATACTGGATTTGTGGGGGAAGGGAACTTGATGACCTTTAGTATGCGTGTCTTTTCTTTGTCTATGATTCTTGAAACCAGTGAAAAAAGCCTTCTGAACCTGAATGAAACCTTGTCTGCCAAGCTCCATCCCAGAGTTACTGGTTAATAACTAGGTATGTTTGTAAAATCCTGATAAATGAGCTTTCTGATGGAAATAATGACAACCAAACTGACCAAATGAATGGTGCTTCTGTAACAGCATAACACAGCAATTACTTGTTCCCATAATGTATTTTTCCATATAAAACATTTTACTGTGCCGAATTTACTGTTTCTGTAGTAGTTTGCTTGGTTAGCTATAAACTTTTGATCTTTTTCTTTAAAACCCCATACTTCTAAGAATCAGAAAAATTGTTATTTAGCAAGGATAAAGGTATAAGAAAATGTAAGAGCAAAACTGAGCACACAGAAACCCACTGTTTATTTTATCCCTTCATAACTTCAGCAGATGTTTCGTGTCCTAAGCCAACCATACTACAATAGGGATGGAGTGAACTGAACAAGACTCTGAAACTAGTTTTCCATTTCAATAACAGTTCTTACAACTGAAGTTCCTCATCCAGAGCACTGCACCCCCTATATAGTAAGCTAGAATCACACTGTCATCTTTGCAGTCTCTGATGTGCTGCTTCACACATCTCTCTGTTTCAGTGCTGTACCAATGGGATACTGTGAATTCATTAGTTTTATTCTTGATAGTAAATTGGACATCAACATTTTGTGGATTGTTTGCAAAAATAAATCCCTCGTTAATTCTGGATGTTAAGACCCTCAAAATAGATCACACATTTAAGATTACAAAAAGATGCTGTCACTTTAAGTTGTTACTGGGCTATTGAAGTCCACTTTAGCTATTTTGATATATGCTACTTGTTGTCCAAATGCACTTTTCTGAACTAAAAATGACAGCCACATTTAAAAGTAGCTTTGAATGCTCGACCGTTCTGTCACTGTAATTTTTGTGTCAAAGATACATTTACTTTTTTTAGCTTCTCACATTTTGTAAAAAAATATAGATACCCCTTTTCCCTTCTATTTACTCTTTTGTTTAGTGATGTCAATGAGAAACACTGCACCTGTATGTTCTGTTGTAAAAAATGGTTTGAATTTGGACACCACTTAGTCTGGTTTAGTGTTAGTTTTTATAGGAATCATTGAAGTATTTTTAGCTTAGCAGTCAATCTAAAAGAAAAGAGGAGAGAACAAATAAAAGATAAATGTGCTTCCCATTTTAAAAAAATATATATATCCCACACTCAAACCTTCTGCTACAGCACTTTCTAAGGCTGCTGTCCCTTGGTCTCAATTACATCTAGCACCATTGTAACCATTGCCTTAAGAACACCCCACCCTGCATAGTACACACAAATGTTTCATTGTCACAAATCTAACGATAACACAGGACTGTGAAAACACTAATAATGCTGGTGTGCTTTTTGGAACACATACATTGTGGTCACTATTTGTTCTTTTCAAAACTTGGCACCTTTCAATTATAAATGAGAGCTTGTTATCTTGAGAACTCAGAGTAAACATTTCATCAAAATCAAAGTCTGGCTCTTCCTTCTCAGCTTGAGAAAAAAGCTTCCAACTTTGATCTTACTGAAAATTTTTCAAGAAAAAATGCAAAAATATATTCTATCCTCTAGTAGTCTTGGGTTTTCCTTTCCTCCCCAACCATTGTCAGTAAATGTATTGGCTATCTATGGTGCTCATCATCATTGTACCTGAATACCTCACAAATGTTAATGAATTTATCCTTGCAGCTCCCCCTGTGCTGTAGGGAAGTACATTTATTCCCATTTTTGCAGGTTCAGAACTTCAGTGGGATTAACTCACATGAATAAAACAAGCAGGATTTCGTTCTCTGTCAGTCTGTCTAATACTGGCAAAACTGGTTAAATTTTTACTGGTCTTTCCATGAGTTTCATCTCCAGTGCAGAGAAGAAAAAGGCAATATATCAGTCTTTAATATTCAAGGAATTAAGGAATATAAAATGAGTCCATTTGAGTCCATTAGGGGGGAGGGATAGCTCAGTGGTTTGAGCATTGGCCTGCTAAACCCAGGGTTGTGAGTTCAGTCCTTGAGGGGGCCATTTGGGATCTGGGGCAAAAATTGGGGATTGGTCCTGCTTTGAGCAGGGGGTTGGACTAGATGACCTCCTGAGGTCCCTTCCAACCCTGATATTCTATGATTCTATGAAGGAAATATTTTACATTAGGTCATGATTCCTCATGTCATTAATATACTATATAATTTAGAAAATGGTTTTAGCAATATTCTGAAAAACCATACATTAGGAGTTCTCCCTTCCTATTGTTTTTGCCTGCAGTTAAAGAGGAATAGCTACTATGAATAGGGATACCAAATAGTTTTCGTTTCAGCTAGAGCAGTTTTTAGAAAACCACAGATTTTACACCATAACTGAATCAGACTTAATAAAAATCCATTCACAAATTCCACTGTAGGTGTGTGTGTGCCCAGAGACTTTTGCCAGCATTACCAACAGGTGGCGCATGTGCCCTCGCTGTCCTTGTGCACTGATCTGAGGGTAAAAGGGGGCATGACCGCTGCCTTCCTCACAGTTTGTTCTTACCAGCCATGGCAAGAGTTGGAGCTCCCCTGTTGCTGTTCAGCTGCAGTTAGCCAACCTTTAAAAAGAGATTTTCTCTATTTTGTGTATAGTTATAATTAGTTTTAGTGCTAGTC